GTTCTGCGAAGGAAAGGAAAGAATTTGGTGAGTTGGCGATGCGGAGACAAGAGAGCAAAAACGATTAATTGTCAGAAAATATCATTGTAAACTTCTAAAGGTTATCATAGAGCAATGGTTCTAAGACCAGGTGCTACGGCACCCCTGGAGTGCCGTGGTCAGCACCTAGGAGTGCCGCAAGATTCCACAGTAAAATAAATGTCGTTTCTAAATTTGGAATCGCTCTCATTCTTCTAAATATACGTTTGTCAGTTGAACACGTAACATGTGTTATTTAATTCGTGCTCTAGTATTTCGTGAAACAGGTGAAGATATACTCTAGTGTAAGATAAATTCGTGTTAGGTGAGGAGGGGGCGGGGTAAAGAAGAGTGTACCGAAGAAAGAACTGAATTTAGGGTGGCATCTCTGAAGAGGAGTTTGGGAACCGCCGCCACGGTTTCTGATACATGTCATCCCGCGGACATTTTCAGAATCACAGCGAATGCCGGCGTCACTATAGAAGTATAAAATATTCATTCGATTCGTTAAGGCTTTCAAAGAGGAAAGTTTGGGAATTGCTGAATTTTTTGGAAATTCAATAATAAAAATCCGACCTACTCATTTTAGATGTTCTAGAGAAAAACTGCCATTGTGGTTGCTGTAGCGATGATACTAAACATTTTTTTTATTTAAAGGGATTAACTTTAGCATACTAAATTATAAGCTTAAAAAACTGTAGTAGACAAAATTATAACAAGTATCTGACATCGGGATATCCAACATTTGCTCTAAGGCTTGATGAATTTAACTGTGCACGAATCCCGAGCGTATGGTTGACATGTGATGAAGGCAAGACAGTAAACTAAGGCTTGCAAAGTAAAGACCAATCTCTGCGCCACTGGTATGAAAAGGGCGCTCGCCGATCGCGAATGTAGACGAAGGAGCGGAGAGCACTGTTGAATTCGATAACGATCAGGCCCGACGGAACTGCTCCTCGCCGGGGAGTTTCAGCTCTGCGGACAGTGTAATGAGATCATGGGTTTAGTAATGTACTATGACACAGATTTCGAATCTGATATCTTGTAGTGCATATTCCACTCTGAAATTTTCTTTTATGTATACTGTTATATTCTACTCGCTTTTGCATCGCTGACTCATGGACTAGTTTTATCTGATACCGTAGGGCAGGCGAGTCACCAAACATCATCTTCACAGATATGACATTCGTGAACTGCAGCAACTAACCAATTCACGATTAAGCCTTGCGCTTCTCACACTCTACAGCATATAAATATAACTCATATTCACTTACTTACTCACTCAAGCTAACCTCATACTCATCACCTATACTATACTAGTAAATTTATTATATAACTATATTATAGTACACTAAAGTATAATTATATTATACTATAATAACAACAAAATGAATTTAAAGGTACTTACAATGTTTAAATATTTTTCAAAAAGTATGTATGCTAACACGAATGTACACTTTATATTAACAGTCACAGAGGCATTCAAGAGAGCTACTTTGATTACAGTATACATGATAGTTGTAATCTAGGATGCTTAACTCAGCTATTGTCCCCACTCTATAAGTGAGTCGCGTTAGTGATGAATCGCAACGCTGCCGAGAATTACTTACGGAGACCACTCATTCATATTGTTTTGAGGCAATAATCAAAGCAACAATCTATACATAACCTCTCCAGTCGCAAACGTCACTTGAAACGGCCGCAGTTAACTTAGCGGCACGCGTCGGGAACTTCTTTGGAAATGGGCATGGACCATGTTGGAGCAGTGGTGGCACTCACGGTCGGCGATGAGCGAGGTGACCGGATGCCCACGAAGCCGTAAGCAGGATTGCAGAAAAGGCGGCCCGCAAGGTCGTTCACCGGGCGCCTGTTGACTCGTCAAATCTCGCGCGGGTAGCAGGCGTGGGAGGGAGGGTGTGGGGTAGAGGGCTTGTCTTTAGTACGAGCTGGGCAGTCCTTCAGCTCTTGGAGATCGTGTGTGTATGCTGCGAACAACGCAATAACGCACGCACTACTACACACACATCCACACTATAGAAGTGTACAATGATATTTCTGACAACTATCACATTGAACTACACGTACATCACATCACATTGCTATCACAGCACGACACGTACTACGAGCAGACACTAGCACACGCACACACACACCACACACACACACACACACACACGTTATGTTTCATCTTTATATCCATATTTATCAAATTACAGCCTAATGTCGTAAACGACTCCACAGAAAAAATGCTAAAAGAACATAGAAAACAATACCAAGATACCATTAGATAAAATGGTAGCACACAGTATGCGGCATCAGAACGACAAGGCGAAGAGTAAGGTCCATAATGCTAGATTAGTCTATCGCGCTCGGCAGCTATTAATCGAGATACTCATTAGAAGAGTCTGGCCTGGTCGCCATTTTGGGGATACACGTTCACCACACGCTAATGCCTGGAGCAGCGCTTTCTCGGTGGTCTGCATGGTCGTTTCTTTCTTACTGTTATAGCGCCGAGAGCAATTAGTCTAGCAATTATGTTCATAGAGATAGCCCGATACCGAGGCGCAGAGTATTGTCATATTTCGCAGGAAAAGAAAAACAATTAGAGCTCTCATGCCTGCTTTGAAAAAATATGACCCGCGATATTGTGAACGCAAATCAGCATGCCCACAATTCTTTACTTCTGATCTTGAAGGTAGGAGGTACACGTCTTTATGATATGAGGCGTCGCTCTCTCGTCTGCTCTCGATGATGCTCTGCTAACTCTCTCTCGAGTAGCTTTACGTGTCGCGAATCTATCTCTCATTCTCCTTCTCAGTAACTCTTTTTTTTAAGAATAAGTAGTCAATATTTGCGTCTCTGCTCTCGTCTCTGTATGAAACAAGGACTTGCCTTCGCGTCTGAGATCTCGAGCGTAAGTGACTGTAAGACCAGAAAATTACGACTCGTTGCAACCAAGTCGCATCTGAATAACCTATCACACAGTTGCACACTCAGGGCAGTCACATTTGAGCCGGGAGCTCACAGGCCTCTGTACGATGACCTCCTACTCTGGTCCTCCACTGTGCGACGCCCCGCTCGGCGCGCGTCGTAGGGCCACCCTTTGCACCACACTGCAGCATGCAGAGACACATGCACGCGCAATCGCTACTGCGCTCACTGTCAATAGAATCACGAACTCATGTCAACTATGATGTCTCACATACCAAACACTCCAGACTACCAAAATGCAAGAGGCATGACACACCACTGAGAAACTCCCACTAGGAACACTCTCGTCATTTCACTTACATTCTTGACTATTTTCTGTGCTGTGTATATCATGCATATAGTGCGACTATACCGTATATAAGAGATATATTGAATGAAAATAAATATATAGATTAGTATTATAGTAGTATTTAGTTATGATATATATCAGTATATACTAATATTAATATAAATATATACATCATAGGTCAATTAGAATAATAGCAGGATATATACTACTATACATATAATAGATGCGACTGCGTGTGCCCTTAGTGTGTGTGTGTCGTACACGAGTCGTCTACGCTTGTGGCAGTAGATGATTTCATTGTAGTAGTAATACTATAAAGTTATCAAACTAGCATGTAAGCACAGCTATCTACGGGTACCATACATAGCACAGATAGTATAGCATAACCTGTACGCATGAAAGATCGGTATCGATATAGCAGGTCGGAGGGTATATCATACATGGACGTATACCTTTGAAACCTGAAATGAATCTACAAGGTAATATATTTATATTCTATAACATCCGCGCGCATCGTATGTGTGTGTGTGTGCCTTTTGAGCGTGTGTACGCGAGCTGAGCGCACGTGTTTGTGTTTGTTCACCGATTGCTCTCTTCCAGATACTTAATAGTAAGCTCCAAACAAATATTTTCAACAGGATTCTGATCATTTATTTCTATTTAAAATTTTGATTTTATTTGTATATTGATTTGTATATCTTTGACTATCTCTTTACATAGGTCATTTAAGATACAGCCATTCCTACAAGGTGTCACCAAACTCCGTAACCGCCGATGTCATTTCCGAACCATTTTGATAATTTTTGAGACATTATCAAAAGAGGGTTACATATTATATATTGTACTATTTGTATATCACGCTAATTAATATCACCACGCATACTATATACTAATATATTACATTACATATCAATAATATACTATAATATATATATTAATTATTATATATATTTATATATATATTATAGATAGAGAGAGAGCAGTATGATGAGAGATGTGTAGAGAGAGTAGATCGAAGTAGAGAGAAAGATGAGAGAGAGCATAGCATCAAAATAACAACACATGAAAACACATTTGTATATATGTATGTATGTATTACACACACCTTATATAAAATGAAATATTTCGAACTATATGAGCTAATTTATTCCTCTCACTCCATCGACTAGTACGAACAAGACTGCTACTGAAATTGCTAGCTACATAAAGCTATTATTATATAGGTAGCTTACTGTTACCGAGAACAGACAACATCACCATGAGACATAAGTCATCAAGATCACGACAGATCATAAACACGAGTATATAATTGATGCAAGATGGCAGCCAGCACATGCACTGACAGTGCAGAGAGGAGAGATACATGAATCCCCCCACACCACCATAAAAAAATAGACATCAATCAAACCACCACCATCACACACTCATAAATAACCTAAGATATCATCATCCACTCACCACCGATCATAAATATCACTCATGCACCAACACATTCATCATCATCACTCAGTGTAACTACAGCCTCATCCCCCGACTCACCATCGAAGAACATCAATCACCATCCAAACCACCATCAGACCATAAACCACACATGCCAATGGACACACATACTATGCAGTACTAGAGTCGACTCACATGCTATGAGATCAATTCAGTCATGCACCATCGCAGCGCGCTCCAATCATCGCTCATCAGAAATCGA